TTGCTCAGAAAAGTACTATCAGGATTTTCCTGGGGGCACTTCAGCTGTACAGATGGGGTACCAGCTGCCTCCCCAGCTGTGGCTGTGTTTGAACACCGTCACAGCTCACATTTACATCTGTATCATGGAAATAGTGCCGTGCACCTTGAACCTTGGGGACACTCACAAAGTGCATCCCTATGGAGGTGGCTGCCGCTGTCTCAATTTCTGTGCCAATGTCCTCAATGAAGGGATATTCATCTTGGTCGTGGACAATGATCTTGGCTCCTGACGACGTCACCAGGAAAGGGTTGTAGTCTGCTTCGTCGATGTACAGAACAACCTGCAGCCCTGAAGGACAGAGAAGCAGGGGCTGCATTACACCAGAGCTAGAGCCCACTTGTTCTGGGCAGGATGGGCAGCGGTGTGCTGCGCACTACGTGGCAGTTTACTAAATGCAGTTTAAGAACCAAGCGATGCCTCTGCTGTGCTAGGCAGCAAGTGGTGGCCCTGCACAGCCCTGAGTACAACAAACAGACGGCGTCTCCTCAGAAGGAGCAGAAATTACTTTAAGAAGTTATATAACTGGGAAGCAGTAATTTCAGATTGGAAAACATTAGTGATGCAATGATATTATCTTTGTATTCTCTGGCAACAGTTTGCACTAGTTCAAACAAGCACTTCCCCAATCAGGCTGCACATCTAGAGCCAACACATCAGTCACCCTCCAGCAGGATCCAGTTTGCCGAGCAGCACGCTGACAGCTCTGCCAGCTCCTTACCGTATTCACTGCCGCCAGTGGAGGTGCTCAGCACCGTCCCGTTCTCCCCACTGTTGAAGGTGTAGCAGTTGCCATGCAGGGGGTGATGGAAACGTGTGAAGTGCCTGAGAAATCAAACATTGTTACATTGCCCCCTCTGCAGTTTTAACCGTCTCTGGCAGAAACTCAGCAGGTTTGGATGTTGCTTTGGCAGAGACAAAGCAGGATAGGATTTTTCTTTTTTCTTAAAAATGCTTCCCCTTCCCTACCCCCCCCCCTTCCTTAATATCTTGAAACTACACAGAAACATGACCTGGTTTAACAGCACCTGGAAATTAAAAGTTTTGGAGGCTTTCAGGGGGGAATGGGGGCTCAGAATTACTGTGCTAGCAGGAAAGGGGCAGTGGAGGGCAGAGTCCTTTTTCATCCAACAGCCTAGTGTCTATAGGGACACAGACCTTCACTTTGCAGGAAAGATGCCTCAGCCACTGCCATGTCACACCCTTGTGATTCAAGCACATTCATGTTTCTCCTGAGAATCTCCCCTCCCACTCAAGCAAACGTTGTAATTCCAAGAAAATATTACATACTTGTGTGATCACAGACATAAGTAAAGTGCTTCCAGAAAAGATTCAGCAATGCCTGCTGAGTGCAGCCAGCTTTGCACAGTGGGAAAACTGCCAAAGCCACGTACAAGTGCAATTCTATCCTGACGGCTGCACCTGGGAGCTCTGCTGTTGTCCCCAGCATTGAGGGATGTTTTCACTGCTGCCAGGGCACACAGCAATTGCACTGCAGTAATTGTAAGCAGGTGGACCTGATTACGTCCAAAACAATTATGTCCAACTAATCCAGTTTTATCTGAAACATGGACAGCAGAAACTAAGACAAATAAAACTAAAGACCGTAACTGAAGTTCCTTAATACGTGAAAGTTTGCTTTCATTTAGAAGTGGAAGTGGTTCTTGCTGGAATTCAGCAAACGCCAGACATTAAATTTCTCTGTACTATACACTTACACTTATGGACTTGGAAATAACTGGCACTGACCTTTTGTCACAAGATAGGCCATCAAAAAAACATGTCAGCAGAAGGTCATCAGCAGAATAACTCAATTCTTCTTTAGTCTCCAAGGGAATCTGTGCCATGATGTTCATGTAATGCAGCTTGTACCACTCTTGGATAGCATTAACACCAGAACTGAATGTATAAAGTGCACACTCACTGCTGTTGTTTGCATCGCACTGACAATTACAAAGGGGAAGAAGCATTTCAGATGGAAAGAAATGATGTGTTCTATCAAGTATGCCTGGTATCATTTCTTTCTCTCAGTAATAATCACGTGACATTACAGTGGCAGCAAGTGACAAAAGGGCACCAAAGACCTTTCATCTGGGGCCAAATGGTTTGACCAAATGTTTCATACCCATAGGAAGGGTCGTAGATGGCATTAGGTCTATGTTGGCTGTACTTCACTGTTGGCATTTCTATTCCAGAGAGCTGAAGGTGGGTATATAGGCCACCACGGAGGCACAGCAGAATGGGTAAAAGATCAGTCGGAGCTTTAATCGCTGCCATTAAACAAGCAATAGATCTGTCCAGTGGGATGCCTGCCCCAGCCCCTTTGCCACCCCACAAGGAATATGCTGGCTAGGGAAGGGTGGCACTCACCAATTGGAAGCCGATGATGTCATTTGAATCTCCAGAGTTCACTATGGACGAGTCCCTGTGGAAGACGCTGCCCTCCACTTTCCTCTTCCGCCCGCTGCGGAGGTCAATGGCAGTCCTGAAGGAGTTCTCTAACCTCAGCAGTGGGATCTGCCTTAAGAACAGGCTCTCAGTGCCATTCCAGTCACCCGCCGCCCGCCTCACCTTGGACTTGCCCTCTGAGAATCCATAGAACGTCTCCAATGCTTTTTTTGTCTCTCTGTCCAACTCAGATAAATAATCTTTCATCAAACTGTACCTGCGTGGGAGAAAACGTGAGAAAATCACGTTGTTCGCCTCATCTTCCACTTTGTTTAACCCATCTGCAGTACTGCACCACAAATCCCATCGCTCAGGAGCGTCTTTGTCACAGATCTGCTACAACCATTGGCACAGATCTCCTACAATCGAGCTAAGTTAAATCAGTGTGGGTAAGGGGAGTGAAGGGAAATGACCATCAGGAGGATGCTGACCGTGGAGAACCCCCCCAGGGTGCTGAGCTGCCAGAGGGACTGCAGGCAGATCGAGAAGCAGCACTGGTAGGGACACAACCTGGACCAGAAACCAAACGGCAACCGTGGAATATGGGGGCAGCTGGGGAAAGCCGGCAGTGAAACAGACCTCGGCAGAAAGCACGGTAAGGCAGGAAAAAAGCATTGCTGATTGAAAAAGGCAGAGCATCCCGCGAGGGATGGAAAAGGTGACAGAGGAAGGACAGAGCCGCTCCCTTTGCAGTTCTCAGGAGATGGCATTGCTTGTAACGCCGGTCCTGGGAAAAGGGAATCTGATCGGAGCCGCAGAGCCGAGCGGACCGCCCCCGGCACAGAGCCGCCCGGAGCGAAGGCTCAGCGGGCAGCGGGAGGACCGCAAAGGGACGGGGGACGCGAGGAGCCGGGGGACGCGTGACCCCCAGCGCCGGCCTTACTTGTAGGGGTTGATGTTGCAGATGGTGACGGCGGGGAAGGGCAGCTTCTGGAACTGCACGGTGACGGACACGGACGCGCTGTAGTAGTTCAAAAGGAGCTCGGCGCACTGCCAGAGGATCAGCCCCACGGCGCTCAGCGTCAGCAGGATCCAGATGAACCTGCGCAACCGCCCGCGGGACACCACGATGCGGCGGCAGCCGTGCGTGTTGGTGTTGAGGCAGTACCAGCGCATCAGCTCGCGCAGCGTGGGCGCCTGCGGGCCGCGCACCGGCAGCGTCTTCTTGATGCGGGCGGTGATCTTCTTCCCGGGGGCCATGGCTGCGAGCGGAGCGGGGCCGTGAGCCGGGGGAGGCCGCGCGGGAGCAGAGCGGGACGGTGCCCCCCGTCCCACCGCAGCCCGCTCCTCAGGCTCGGCGCTTCGCGAAGTTCCACCGCTCGCAGCCGCGATCCGACGCTCCCGCCCGCTGCGGCGTTAACCCAGCGCTTCCCTCTCCCGTCCCATTTAATGCCGTCGAACGGCGTTTTTTTCCCGAGAAAACCGCATCGCCCCTCTCGCGCCCCTCACCTCGCCCGTCCGGGCCCGAGGGGGCCATGCTGCTCCCGGCCCCGGCGCCGCTCGGATGGCGCTGCGGGCGCCCGCCCCGGCACTACCCCGCCCGCCCGCCCCCGGCCCGCCTCCGGCCCGCCCCCGCCGCACTCCGCGGGCGCCGAGCGCCGCCAGCCGGCAGAGGGGTGGAGACCCGACGAGAGCGGGGCCCGCCTTGCCCTCAGTAAAGGTGGCGGCGCGGCGTCAGCCCAAAGCGGGGATGGCGGGGCGGTCATGTGACGCCGCGCCCCGCCCCGCCCGCCGCATGGCGGCGCCGTGAGGCGGCTGCGGGCCGCGCGCGGAGCGGGCCTGGCCGGGCGGGTCGTGGGGATGCGCGCGGCGCCGCCCGGCCATGTCGCGGGTGAGCGGCCCCGGGCCGGCGGGCAGCGCCAAGGAGAAGCGCTCCTTCAGCAAGCGGCTCTTCCGCGGGAGGGCGGCGGGCGGCGGCGCGGCTCCCGCACCGGCCGCCGCCGCCGCCTCCTCCTCCCCGTCCGCGGCGCCGGGGCGGTCGCTCGGCGGCTTCATGAGCCGCGTGCTGAAGACCCTCTCCACGCTCTCGCACTACAGCAGCGAGCCCGAGCCCCGCGGCCCGCAGGCCCCGCGCCTGCCTCCGCCGCGAGCCGCCGGCGGCCTGGGCAGCTGCCTCCCGCCGGGCCCGCCGCGCCGCCCCGAGCCCCCGCCGCCCGAGCGCGGCTCCGAGGCGGTGCCCGGCGTGGCGGGGCTGCGCAACCACGGCAACACCTGTTTCATGAACGCCATCCTGCAGTGCCTCAGCAACACCGAGCTGTTCGCCGAGTTCCTGGCGTTGGAGCAGTTCCGCGGCCCCGCGGAGCCCGGCCCGCCGCCCCCCGCACCCGGCGAGGTGACGGAGCAGCTGGCGCAGCTGGTGCGGGCGCTCTGGACGCTGGAATACACCCCGCAGCACAGCCGCGACTTCAAGGTGAGGCGGGCAGAGCCGCCGCGGCGCGGCCCTGCACTTCTGCTCGGCGGGAGCGGGCCTCGGGCCTGGGCGCGGTTCGGTGACCGGGCCGCTGCCGTGCGTCCGCGTCTCGGTGCGAGGAGCCCGCGCCGGAGGCCCGGCGGCATCGCGCTGCTTCCCACGTGCCGGGCTGCGGTTAGGCTGACGCTGAAGGAACGGGTTCTCTCCCGCGCCGCTCCGCTTCCCACCCGTACCTGGGCGCTCCCACCGTTGTACGTGGAAGGTTTGTTGCCGCTTTGGGTGCGTTTGGAATGCTCGTGGCTGCCCCTCAGGAGGAGCGGAAGCCCCGGACCCGGTGGGGCAGCCAGCCTGTTGATTTCCACTATACGGTGAAGCCACCGGCGGCTCTGTGCCTGATGCTGGAGGTGCCCGTTTTGCTGTTTCATGCCTGTCGTGCCGTGGTGGCCGGCTGCGGCTTGCTGCTGGCATGGGAGGGGGCCCTGAGCCCTCTGTCCCACCGCCGTGCTGCTGGGGCATTGTGAGCTCTGCCCCTGGCTCTGGCTAGCACAGAGCCCTGCAGCAGGTACACTCTGCAATTGGGTCAGAGGCACCCTGTTGGAAAAAGGAGGCCCAGCATCTGGTGAGGAGCATGAGGTGCTACCACCCACCCCATGGCTCTGCTGAAGCCACCCCCAACTTGTGAGTGCTCCCTGGCAGCAGCAGGTGTGAATTTCTCATGGGTAATGATTAGAAGCTTGAGGAGGCAAAGCTATCTTTCCCCAGTACAGATATAAAAGGGAGAGCAGAGCAAGGCCAAGAAGTGCTATGTGCAGGCTTGGAGTAGAGGTGCCTGGGTAGGGGTGGCAGAACAAGAAGGGAAGCAGAGCCATGTATTCAGCTCAACCTGCGTTCCAAGTTTTTCTAATAGCGGAACTTTCTTTGCCCAGTGGCTGCCGTAACTGACAGTGAGTGCCTGCCTGGTCCGTGCTGGAAGAACTGGAGCTATCAGGCCCCCCAGCTGGGTCCCGAAGCCTCATGCTGGGGGTCTGGTGCAGGTGGGCCCCATGGCTGTGCCCAGAGTTAGCTCACAGTGACCTCAGCATTGACGTGAGTGTGCAGCTGCTTCTCACTGGGGCAGTTACTTTGAGTAGTAAATGAATGCTTCTAAAGGCAATTCAGTAGCATGAACCTGCTATTAAATTCACTGTTGTTAATTAAAGCTTTCTTCGGCAGGTTTGCATGGTTTATTTAAAGGTGTAAACAAGAACCTTACATGTAAGGAAGGCGAAGGTTGATGCTTTCGCTCTGGGAACCGCTGTTTTCCCCACGAGAACGTCCCTCATAGCCTGTTTCTTTTCTGTTTGAAATGGTGAGAAGTGTTTTCAGGAGTTGTTCTGCAGCTTCACTCCTTTGGCAGTACTTACTGACAGTCACATTTGCTGCTCGCAAAGCTCTTTAGGCAGTGCTTAGCAGTAGGTGTGGGGGATTTTTTTGGTAGTGCTGTGTATAATGGGGTAAAGACAGTTTCTGATCTCGGAGTGCTTATCTGCAGGTGCTAAGCGCCTTTTAGGGATACAGGATAAGTATTATCTCCTGGCTTGTTCTGACATCATAGGCTTTGTTCTTAGGGCAGAGAAGATGCTGCTTCAAGGGAAAGCCTCTCTGGGTTGTTCAGGATGGAGACCTTCAGGGCTGATGTGGAAGGGGCTGTGGGTGAGGGGCTGTTGTTCCTTCACGAGCTTCCTGGCGTGAGATGTTCCACACTGCGGTAGAGGAGGCAGGTGCAGCTTTGGGCGACCTCCCCTCCGGCCTCGTACTCTTTCACAGTTGTTTGAGCAACCACTTTCTCCTGGTGTGCAGTGGTTTTTATTTTCCTGCCTAAACAGAACCGCTGCTTTCATAACTGGGGCCAGTATTGCAGCTCGCGCTTCCTTTTTCCCTTTGTGATGGTGTGACAATAGCAGCAAACACACATTGTGTCAGCAATAGCTGTGCTTGGGGCCCGTTGTTTGCAGGGCACCGTCCCGCTCTCCCCCAGAGCTCTGTCCATCAGCTGCAGGGACAGAGTGCCCTTTGTGCCAGGAACAGGGGAGCTGCAGGGAGTGAACTTCTATTGAAACTTACTGGGCTTGAAAATTGTATACCCGTACCCAGATCCTCTGCTTTTGTCTTTCCTGCAGTTGTGGTCTCCTGTGGATGGTGAAGTTATTTGCTGTTCTGAGGCTTTCCTCATCACTAGGCTGGCTGCACACCAGAGCACTCTGATGTTCTCCAGGGCCCTGCTGTACTTGTGCTGCCCCGGTTTCTTTTCCTGCCCGACAAGATGAAACTGCCTGTAGTGTGTACAGCAAATACAGCAGAGCCATAGGAATGGGATGGAGTTGGATTATCAGAATTAGATCTGGACCAAAAGCAAATCCCTGTTAGTGGAACAGGGATTATTGTGCCAAGTAAATATTGCCTTTTCCATTTTTTTTTTTTTTTTTTTTTTAAACCTCAGTAACAATTAATAGTGTGTAACTTAGTTTTACAGTGCTGGTGTTTAGGAAAGCTCTTGACGTAAATATTGTGCTTGGGATGAGTGGTCCATTGGCTGTGTTTCATTTCTGTGGGATTCTGAATGTCTGCAACTTGTGGAGCAGCTCCTATGGACACAGCCAGTCCTCGGCCCCCTGCTCTGAGAGAGGAGGGCAGTGGTGCTTGGGCCCCCCCTGCTGTGTCCTGGCCCCATGGTTCCCATGTTTCTGGAGCGGGCAGAGCTGGGTGCTGTGGGGCCTTGAGGTGCTTGCCCCAGTTCAGACCCTGTTCTGCTGTTGGCATTGCCCATCCCTCCTTCCAGCTGCAGTCCCTGTGTTCCTGCTGTGTGGTTCCACTGCCCTGTGTCTGGGTGGCTCTCCTCACTGCTGTGCCCTCTGCAGCAGGTTTGTGCCAGCATTGGGTCTGTGCCCCCCATGGTGGGTCCAGGACCCCCACTGACCATGGGTAGCCTGTGGCTTTGGCTCTGTCCCCAGGGCTGTGGATGGCTGCCAGGTTGGAGCCATTGTTTCCCAGGTTTTGCTTTCCCTGGAGGGGAAGTCTTTCTTTGAGAGGGGAAGTTGCCATGTTTGTGTGTGTGACCTCTTCGTGAGGTGTCTGTTTAGAAGCTACCCAAACACAAAGCTGTCTGTGGGATTTAAAAACAACACAATCTCTGCCCAAGCCCAACTTCACAATGTTCAATGACAGACAAATAATAGGCTCTTTCCTGCTCACGTGTGTCATTGTTTCAGGGCTGTCATGAGCCAGTTCCATCCGTCCATGTCCACAAACCTTTCAACAGCTGCTTCCTACCAGAGGCACACTGGAAAACAGCGGGCTGACATTTTCCCTTCAGTCATCTTTGCCACCTGGAAGAAAAACAGCAGCAAAGGAGTGTCCGGTGGTTCAGCTATGCTTGGCTTTATTTATGGCATCTATTTAGAGCAATAGATGATTAAAGTTTCATTGGGCTGATAAAAACGATAATGCATCTTTGCTGTAAATCGGCTTTGTGGACAGACAGGGACTTGTTTGATTGTGGGGAGCTTGTATTAGGGGGCTGGATATCTGCAGTCAACACAAATTATGATTTCCCCTTTCTCTCTTCTAGTAGTTCTGCTTCCATTCAGGGTTTCTGAGCGCTGGGAGGATCTCATCCTGTTGGCTGTGGGTGGTGGGTCCCCAGAGCCCATTCCCACACTGCTGCTCACAGCTGGAGCAGCTGCACAGCCCTGTGAGATGGAGCCTGGTGGGATGTGCCACCTCTGCCTGCAGCCCAGATTAGGGGCAGGGGATTAAAGGCCAGGAGGTTGGTGGATGTGCTGTTCTTAATGTGTTTTTATGCATGTTTAAACCATTTGCTTCTTAACTGTGTATTTGCAGCCAGTCACAATTGCTGCTGCTTTATTGCACTGTTCAAGCAAGAACAAATCTGCTTGTACCAATGGCAGCAGGAAGCAGAAGGAGCACTGGGAGCACGCTGCTGGTGCTGGTTTGGGAGCACAGGCTGCAACCTGCAGGCAGCCCTTGGTGCACACAGGATCCAGCACCCAGGTCTTTCCCAGAGCCATGCCAGTGGTGCTGGGAAGGGGCAGTGAGAAATCAGTCCTTGCTTGAAGTCCAGAGCTCCTTGGCACTCAGGGTGCTCTTTCCTTCAGCCCTGTCTGGAGTGGAATGGCCAACCCTGTGTGGAGTGGCTGTTCCCTGGACACTGCTCACTGCTTTAGCACCACATTGGTATGTTTGAGCTGGTAGGGTGCTGGCCCTTGTGCCTGCAGGGACAGGAAATCCCCTGTCAGAAGGGCATGCACATGTGTAATGAGAGCAGATTATTTCTGTTCTCCCTTATTTTGCTGCCTTGAGGCAGGTGGACGGATTATAGAGGATAGAGAATATATGTCTGTCAGTCCTTCCCTGTCTTTCTCATCACCCCTCCCTTCTGATGACCCCATTTTTAGAGGGATAAAGCAAGCAGCCCATCCCCCTTTCTCAAATCTGTTGTGAAGTCTGATTAGAGAAATCAGAGGTTTGTGGTGGGCATGCAGCACGTCTGGTGCTGCCAGGGTGCAGGGCTGCTCTGCCTTTGTGCTGCCGATGGCTGGTGCCAGCATTGTGTCACTTCGATGCTCCCTGTGTCCCTGAAGAAGCAGAAAAAGCTGTTTTTTATTTTTCTCTGCAGCAGGGGTTGCTTTCTCCTCAGTTTGTAACTTTCCAGGGTCAGCTCATCATATCCTGTTATTTTGGAGAGCATTCAGTCTGGGTGCCTTGTGGTGGTGCATGGTTCCCGTCCCCTGGGTCTGTCCCAGTGCTGTAGGGAAGGTGAAAGTGAGATCGAGGGGCTGCAGCACAGGAAGCACCTCCTGATGCTGATTGCTTATGGTGAAAGATGATTCCAAGCCTTCTGACTTCTGCATGGGGAGGAAGAGGCACGTGTGGCTTGGCTGAGGCTCAGCACAAATGTCAGCATTGCGAAAGGTGTCCTGGAGCTGCAGGGCAGGGGCAGACTTGTGGAAGTGCAGACTTTTGTTGCTGGTGAATTTTCAAGCCATTCCCATTTGTGTCCGGAAGAAAAAGAGATTTGAGCAAATCTCTTGGGCGTGCTGCTGCACTCCTGAGATGGCTTTTCTGGAAATTCAAGTGTAAATTACATCCTCCGACTCTTGAAAGCTTATCCGGAGTAGTGCCAGTTGTCTTACTGCATGCAGTCTGTGTTCCTCTGCAGAACATTGTGTCCAAGAATGCCATGCAGTACCGTGGGAATGCCCAGCACGATGCGCAGGAGTTCCTGCTCTGGCTTCTGGACAGGGTCCACGAGGATCTGAACAACGTGGTGAATTACAGCGGCGTGCCTCCACTCAAGGTAAGAAATGCTGCTGCGAGCCTACGTGGGAGATCAGCTGCTGCTTTGCTCTTCAAATCAGATCTGCCTGTTGGTGCCTGAACTCCGATGGTTCAAATGAGACAAAAGCTTGGGTTCAAATAGTGTTTGTTTCTGGCCCTGTGAATGTGGCTAGCTGTTTCAGTAATCCCTGGCACGGGCTCCCTGACGCAACCCTTAGAGAATGCTGACACGCAGAGGAAACGCTGCCAGCCTTGCATCTGGTGCAGGACCCCTGCCTGTCGTGCAGTCACGGGGCTCTGACAACCTGTGTGGGCAGAGAGCACTGCTTAAAAATCTTGGACACTTTCCTGATGTTTCTGGTCAGGGAGGGCACAGATTTGGCTGGGAGTACTGGAGTCAGCTGGAGCACACCTACACGCTTGGCTATGCTTCTGGGGTTTCTTCTTTTCTTTTAGCCACCACTGGAGGATGATGTGCTCCTTGAGGGACCAGCCTTTCCCATCAGTAGTACTTTCGTGCAGGAACTCTTTCAAGCCCAGTACAGGTATGACATTTTGTAAATTCTGAGGCATTATTACATGCAGTAGTGACCCCAGTTTAATTTTACTCTGACACTAGCTCACAGTACAATTCGGACTGCTAACAGATGTTTCTGAATTTTTGCTGAATAAAAGTTGAACTAGAAACTTTCACCAGAAGGAAGAGAGAAAGAGTTTGATTACTTCAAATTTGGTATATTCTACAGTATGCACCCCTTTGCCACCTGCCCTGATGTGTCCTGAAAACAAGGCAGTGCTTAACAGAGCAAAGGCCCAGGGTGCTCACTGCTGTGAAGCTCACCCTGCCTGCTCAGAGGCAAGAGGCTGCAGCAAAGTGCTGAGATGCCTGGAGGCTGCTGGGGAGTTGCAGATGGATCCCAGGCACCTTGCTGGGTTCTTGTTATCTGGTGCTTGAGAATCCCGAGTTGAATCCTTCAGTGTCCCTTCAGGTTATTTCCTGTGAGTTTCTCATACTTCTGGGAAGTGAGCTTTCTAATTTCAGAACTAGTGCAGAACTAATTCCAGTGTTCCTCAATGTCTTGTATCTGTGCTGCTGTAGGAACTTGAATTACTGGGCATTCTCCCCAATGCTTGCCAGGTTTTCTTCTACAAAGGAGAAATTTTGTGTAGTGTAAAACACTGGCAGTGCAAGGTGTAGGTTGATTTGGAAGGAGATGTGTTGTTGGGATTTGTCTTCTTCTGAGTAAGAGGTCTTTGCTCCTGCAGTGCTGACTGTCACAGTCTCCTTCCTATCACTTTACCTCTCTTCAAAGAGAAAATCCTTTCAGGTCTTTCACACTGGAGCTGCTGTTGGTGAATTATTAATCTTGGAGTGATGCTTATTCAAAGCCCAATTCAGTGTCTTGAGTGAAGTCTTCTCCTTGCATGCCCTGTAATGAACTTTCAAGCTAATTACTTTGAAATGATCTAGAAATTCAGTACCCTTCTCTTACAGGAATTATGTCTGTTCTGTCTCTGTGCCAAGCCGCTTTGTATGGAGGAAGAAAAGTGTGACACGTGGGGTTGGTTATTTATGATGTGATCATTGATCTGTTCCTGATGAAACGGTGTATAACTGTTCTGTTACTGGTGTTTGTACCAGGTCCTCTCTGACGTGCCCTCATTGCCAGAAGCAGAGCAACACCTTTGACCCTTTTCTTTGCATCTCTCTGCCGATTCCTTTGCCTCACACACGGTATGTGGCATTGTCTTGAAGTATGTGTTGCCTGTTTCCCCCGTAGCAATGAGGCACCTGTTTATACAATGGGTACTTGAGCTCTGCAGCTCCTTTATGTGACACTATGGATGCAGTTCAAGAAGCAACAGAACAAAAGAATTGAAAGAAGATACTAAATAGGAAGATGTCCTGTTTGGTTCAAAATCCCTGTTCCACTGCTAGGTGGAGGCTGAGTGGGCTTTCCAGGGGAAGTTTCCTCGTAGGCTCAATTCTCCATTGTGTACTTTAGAGGTATTACTTTTGGTACTGTTGGAGGCAGGACTTAGTTTTAAGAAACAACTTGGAAGAGCTATCCCTGTGGTTGTGGCAGCAGCTCTCTGAGTGCACTAAGTTGTTCCTCTGAACTGACCTGTTACAGGATCCTTGCTGGAAAATTAGATTGTTTTACAAGAGGGTTTTACTTTTAACTTTGTGCATCTTTTTTTTCAAAGCTTCCTGCTTTTAGGAACAAGTAGCAGCAGCATATATAGTAAAAGAGGTCTTTGGAAGTCAAATAAGTTTGTGTCGCCCCACAGCTGCAGACGGGGAGCCTCTGGTCAGGCTGGCCCCCTCTGGGTGCTGTAAAGCCTATGCCTGAGGTCCTGTGACCTGTCTGTGCTCTCTGCAGGCCACTGTATGTCACTGTGGTGTACCAGGGGAAGTGCTCCCACTGCATGCGCATCGGGGTGGCTGTACCCATCGCTGGGACGGTGGCCAGGCTGAGGGAGGCTGTGTCCTCAGAAACCAAGATACCCACTGAGCAGGTAAGGGCTGGTCTTGCCTGAGTTCTCCTGCTAAAGGAGGCCAATACCGTGGCATTCATCCTGTGTGCAAGCAGTGTTGGATGTGTAGAATTGCAACTCGCAATCCATAGCAGTATGGTGATATCCTGGATCCTGCTTTTTCCTGTGGGTTGACTTCTTGAAATCTAGTGATGTTAGGATCACTTCCTGTGCAGACTTTGCACTATCCTGCCTGATAACCCCGTGGTTCTTATGTATCAGGGAACTGTTGGGCACCTATGGGCACAGGAAGTGTTCCAAGAAGGCTGTCAGATCCCACCAAACCCCCTGCATGTTGCCGTTGCCTTGTCTTCTATTCTGTGACTGCCCTCTTCCCTGCGCCTTGCTCTGGGCCAGCACATGGATGCTTTGAAGAATGCACTCTGCAGCAGGCAGCCCATGCTGAGAGAGAGAGATGGGGCAGCTCAGCAGGACTCGACTAGGGTGGCTTCATGGGTTTTTTGCTTCTGCTGGCTCTAGATTGTGCTGACGGAGATGTACTACGATGGGTTTCATCGTTCCTTCTGTGACACTGATGACCTGGACACAATTCATGAAAGTGACTGCATTTTTGCCTTTGAGACCCCGGAAATATTTAGGCCTGAGGGTATCCTTAGTCAGAGAGGTAAGTGGAGAACACTGGTTTGTGCCCACCTCAGGTGATTGGATGAGAGAGGTTTGATTTTTGGAAGAGAGCTTACTCAATAATTTATGTCCTACAAATAGTCAATTCTCTGGTGTATTGATTTCAGCTCGGGCTTTGTCCCATCTTATTCCAGTAGGTGTAATGGTGGTGCCAGCTGGGAGGTTATCAAGAAGTGATGTACATGACTGTCTTCCTCTTCCTGGGCTTGTTCTGCAGGCCTGGCTGGCTTAATTCAATATCTGTTTAGTTTTTGTTTAAAGGTCTTCTAAGGACCAGATCAAGACACCAAAATCATGTTATTTAAAATCAGATTGTCAATGATGAATGAACAGGCTCAGGAATGAGCAAGCACTTTTCTCTATTAAAGCTCAAGAAATGCAGTTTTTTCGATCTCCCTCTCAGAGAAAGGGAGTAATTGCATCCTGGGTGGACAGAGGGTAATCAAAGGTAAATTTTCCTATTGAATGTAACAAGCAGAATTTCTGTCACTTCAGCTTTTCATGCAGGCAGACAAGCTTATGAGTATTTGCACAAATTACTGTGAAAAATCAGTTAGGTGAGCACTTGCATCTAATTTATCTCTATAAAGAAGTAGTCACCATGAAAAGTAACTGTTCTTTGAAGCCTTTGTGTTAGCGTAATAAAAATAGTGAGTCTCTATTCCATACTGACCTGCTCCCTGATGCCCAGAGAAGGTTCCCCAGAGGGACACACATTGTAAATGACATAATGAAGTAATTCATTTCTACTTCTTCAGGAATACATGTGAACAATAACCTGAATAACTTAAAATATGGCACTGAACACTCACGAACAGTATCATACTCTCAAGGAACTGTGGTGTCTGGAAAACTGGAACAGTCCTCTACTAGACAAGGAGCAAATGACAAGATTGTCTTGCTGGTGTGTAATAGAGCGTGCACTGGACAGCAGAGCAAAAGGTGAGTGCCACGTTCCCTGTCAGGTTGACTGTTGTGGCTGTTGCCTGAATGACCTGTGTTTTCCTCACTGAATAGTGAAAACATAAGGTGCAGCAGGGCCAGTTCACATTCCTAGCTTCAATAAAGTGTTAAATATACTGATCAAAACCCATTAATGAATGCAGCAAATCTTCCTAATTTTGAGTTTAATATGGCCTAGTGTTACTGAGAGGATGGTGAGCCCATCAAGATGTGTGACCTGCTGGGGAGCCACATGTTTTGGGAGACAGCAGGCGTGTCTATGTTCAACAACAGCTGGAGATTTTGAGTGCATTCGGGTGGGGGAGAGTGAGAAGTGATCTTGCCAAAGCTGTACAGAATGCCTTGTTTCTGAGGAGTTTCTGTAGGAGCAGAGTGGGGAGCATTGTGGCTCTGTCCTAGTGTGGGGTCTGGGTTGCTGAAAAGGATGATCTTTTAATTTCTTCCTCAAATGCTTCTCCATTCTCTAGGTTTGGCTTGCCCTTTGTGTTGCATTTGGAAAAAACAATTGCTTGGGATATTCTGCAGAAGGAAATCTTGGAGAAGATGCAGTATTTCCTGCGGCCTGCAGCCTGTTTGCAGGTGAGGCATATGGCTCAGTTTCTATGGCGTGTCCTGTGGTGTGTGATGACCTGATCATGAAACCTGTTGCTGGAAGCAATGCACGTGCTGTGCAGATGCCTTCCCATGTTTGTTTTTGCAATAATGTCCAAGTCACTTATACT